AAACATTTAGAGGTATGCCGCTTCAAAATCCGATTAAGATAAGTGGAGTTATGGAGCTTAGAACTTCAGCCTTATGACATTTTTTAATTTTTTCGAATTTGTGCAACATCGTCACATCAAAAAAAGTACAAAAAAATTGAAAAAAAATAAATTTCTAAATTTGAATGCAGATTTTTAGAGAATTGCGCCAGAAACATTTAGAGGTATGCCGCTCCAAAATCCGATTAAGATAAGTGGAGTTATGGAGCTTAGAACTTCAGCCTCATGACATTTTTTCGAATTTGTGCATCATCGTCACATCAAAAAAAGTACAAAAAACTTAAAAAAAAAAAAATTTCTAAATTTGAATGCAGTTTTTTAGAGAATTGCGCCAGAAACATTTAGAGGTATGCCGCTCCAAAATCCGATTAAGATAAGTTGAGTTATGGAGTTTGGAACTTCAGCCCTGGCACATTTCTTAATTTTTTGAATTTCTCAACATCATCACATCAAAAAAGTACAAAAAACTTGAAAAAAAATAAATTTCTAAATTTGAATGCAGATTTTTAGAGAATTGCGCCAGAAACATTTAGAGGTATTCCGCTCCAAAATCCGATTAAGATAAGTGGAGTTATGGAGCTTAGAACTTCAGCCTTATGACATTTTTTCGAATTTGTGCATCATCGTCACATCAAAAAAAAAACAAAAAAATTAAAAAAAAAAAAATTTTTAAATTTGAATGCAGTTTTTTAGAGAATTGTGCCAGAAACATTTAGAGGTATGCCGCTCCAAAATCCGATTAAGATAAGTTGAGTTATGGAGTTTGGAACTTCAGCCCTGGCACATTTCTTAATTTTTTTGAATTTCTCTGTTGAGAAATGATGTTTCATCACATCAAAAAAGTACAAAAAAATTAAAAAAAAAAAAATTTCTAAATTTGAATGCAGTTTTTTAGAGAATTGTGCCAGAAACATTTAGAGGTATGCCGCTCCAAAATCCGATTATGATAAGTTGAGTTATGGAGCTTAGAACTTCAGCCTTATGACATTTCTTCGAATTTGTGCAACATCGTCACATCAAAAAAAGTACAAAAAAATTAAAAAAAAAAAAATTTCTAAATTTGAATGCAGTTTTTTAGAGAATTGCGCCAGAAACATTTAGAGGTATGCCGCTCCAAAATCCGATTAAGATAAGTGGAGTTATGGAGCTTAGAACTTCAGCCTTATGACATTTTTTAATTTTTTCGAATTTGTGCAACATCGTCACATCAAAAAAGTACAAAAGAATTGAAATAAAATAAATTTCTAAATTTGAATGCAGATTTTTAGAGAATTGCGCCAGAAACATTTAGAGGTATGCCACTCCAAAATCCGATTAAGATAAGTTGAGTTATGGAGTTTACAATTTCAGTCTTTTGACATTTATTCATTATTTCGAATTTATACAATTACAACGAAATTAAAAATAAAAAAATGAATGCTATAGTCGCGTTCCCCGACTATCAGATACCCGTAACTTAGCTAGTGGAAGTGCGAAAGAATATTCATAAATATCTGGAATATCTGTAAAAATTGGGGATAAAATTAAGAAATGAAAAAAAAATTGTTCAAAAGTGTGGGCACGACGGTTTTGGGCGCTTTGTGGGCGGTAGAGTGTTCGTGGCAAAAAGTTTTTCAGCCAATCGTTAGAAATTTACAAAACTAAAAAAAATGTTAAGAAATTTACATTACATTTACAAAAAATGTGGCCGTGGCAGTTTGTGGTCGTTAGATGTTGCGTCGCAACATTTGGAAACAAACTTACGCTGCTTCTATGTCTCTGGAAGCTGCAAGATTAATCTCAACAACTGAGATCGAGGCGTTTATACGGACAGACGGACGGACATGGCCAGATTGACTCGGCAATTGTTCCTGATCAAGAATATATTATATATACTTTATATGGTCGAAAACGCTTCCTTCTGCCTGCTACATACTTTTCAACCAGTCTAGTATACCCTTTTACTCTACGAGTAACGGGTAGAAATAGGCGCAACAAAAAGCGCTTAAATATTTAATCGCCTGTGTGCGGTTGCCACTGAACAATGAGAGCGCATTACTTCGGAATAAAAATCACAATTTAAACACTTTTAGCATTCACTAATTTAGGCTACGCATTTAATATATACATATATATAATTATATTGGCAGTTCGATTTTTGGCCAGCTAATTAAACTTTGTTAAACTTAAACACTTCGATCGACTTGCGAGCATCTAGCCTTTGGCCATAAATTGTTGCAATGTTGGCCATAATAATTCTACTTTCCGCCACAAATCTCCGCAATTCCCAAAATAGTTTTCAAAGCGCGTCAACAAATTTATTTGTGCGCTGCAAAGTAAAAAGGCTAACAAAACTGTTTTGTGCAAACAAGTTAAATCAAATATATTGCTTCGATTTGCTGCCCTGCTCTTTTTGTCGTAATGGCTTTTGTTTCGTTTTGTTGCCGGCCAATTGCCAAACACCAAGTTCAACAGCAATTAAAATGGTTTTTGAAAAAGGGAAAATCAAATAATAAAGGCGAATGCGAATGCGAAGGATGCACCCGAGAAGAATGAACGAAATAAATGTATCTGACCAGCGGCAAGAGAAACATTTCGGCTGCTTATCTTCTAGTTGCTGCTAGTTAACAAACAACCCAAAATCGCCAACAACTAACAACTACGGAAAGTCGCCGCGCAAGGGACTCCGTCCCATGAAAAGTTTACTTTGGCCAAAACGGAGCTTTTCGCTCGTCCAAGAAGCCATAAAAATGTTGCTCACGCGGCGGGGTGATGCTAAATGGGTGGACCGGAGCGTGGGGTACAGTGAAAGCGCCGCATAGTGAACATAACTCTAAGGCGAAGAAAAAAACTTAAGTTGATTAATTTTACAGATACTGAAATGGGGTGCTACATTAGTTGCTTTGTTTATTTTCTTAGTTCTTATAAATAAGTTATTTCTCCCTATCTAGTTATCACTGCCTTTCGGCGTTGGTGTGTGCACGTAAATCGCTGTAATAGAAACATTGCATTTTATTGCAGTTGTCTCCGTTCTCCTGAATGTCCTTGCGTTCGCTTTTCCCCCCTCCTAAAATCCCTTTTTTTGTCTTAGGGCCAATAACATTCTGATAAATGGTCAGAACGGCTTTCGTGTCGATGTCCTTGAGGCAGGAGCATCAGCACTGCCATCTGGAGCAGCTGCCCATTCCTGCAGATATTTGTCTAAGCAGAGTGAACTTTTCAATTTGCACTAAAAGTATTTTCCTTTCCCGAGTTGCAACCCAACCTGGCCCTCGTAAGCCCCATGTCCCCAGATCTTGATTTGGCCAGCCCGAACGTGGCGTACTAAACCTGAGCGCGGTTGCACTTGCCACAAATGGATGCAGCCAGCTGCCAGGCGGGTTTATAAATGGTGTCAGCCTGAGGGGACTCTTCATCACGAGCTGCCACCACAGGAAGTCTGCAACGTTTTCTCCCTCGATTTGTCGCTGGCTTTTTGCTGGCCGACCAGAAAATAAACTTTAATTAACTTAAGCTTAATGAGTTCTGGAAATGTAAGCGTGCTCATTTGGCTCTAATCCGATCTTAAGCAACCCAAGCTGGAGTGTTTAACCGGAGGTTATCTGAAGCCTCCAATGATTTCTTTACCATCTCAAACTGCCATGTCATCTCTGGAAATTCCTCCCAATTCTTTTTTAAAGGGTATTTGGCTTTTGTCCTGCATCGCTTAGGAACTTCTATGCTGCTTCTGTTTGACTTGACCAGCATGAATAATGCAAATGTCCAGGGGCTGTTCTAGGTGACATTTCCATAGACACTGCCTTAGACACTCGGAGTGCCGTCCAAGGATTGTGGTTTCGGTGACAGAAAGAACGAAAAACACACGAGGGTAAAACGAGCTAAGCTTCACATGAAAGCTGATGTCACAGTTTTTTTTATTAGAAGGTGGTAATTAGTTACCTTAGAATTAAATATTTACAGGTGGGGCACCATTCTAAGCCTTCCCTTTAATCCCGCGATTTCAGGATTTCCTGTAGACGGTTCAGTTGGCGTCATGATCGTAGTTGAAGGACTCAAAGTAGTAGACACACTACTAGGTACAGTACTAGCTGATGTACTGGGTGCATTACTAGGTACTGTACTAGGTATTTCACTAGGTACAGTACTGGCTGCAGTACTCGACACAGTACTGGGTGCAGTTGTGGGTATGGTCGTCGGTTCAGTACTAGGCACAGTACTAGGCACAGTACTAGGAACAGTACTAGGCACAGTACTAGGTATAGTACTAGGAACAGTACCAGGTATAGTACTAGGAACAGTACTAGGAATAGTACTCGGTATAGTGCTGGGGATAGTACTAGGTATAATAGTAGGAACAGTAGTAGGTATAGTACTAGGAACAGTAATGGGTAAAGTGCTAGGTACAGTGCTAGGTAAAGTACTAGGTATAGTGATAGGAACAGTACTAGGTACAGTGCTAGGAACAGTACTAGGCAGCGTACTGGCTAGAGTACTTGGTACAGTAGTTTGTTCAGTACCAGGTAAGGTACTAGACACACTACTATCTAAGGTACTGGATACAGTACTCGTAATAGAAGAAGTAATAGATACAGTGCTGGTGCTAGGTTCAGTACTAGGTATAGTAGAGCTGGGTACAGTGCTAGATTCAGTGCTAGGTACTGTAATAGGTACTGTGATAGGTTCGGTACTAGGTACAGTACTAGGTGTAGTGCTAGGTTCGGTACTAGGTACAGTACTAGGTGTAGTGCTAGGTTCCGTACTAGGTACAGTACTAGGTGTAGTGCTAGGTTCGGTACTACGTACAGTACTAGGTGTAGTGCTAGGTTCCGTACTAGGTTCAGTACTAGGTGTAGTGCTAGGTTCGGTACTAGGTACAGTACTAGGTGTAGTGCTAGGTTCCGTACTAGGTACAGTACTAGGTGTAGTGATAGGTTCGGTACTAGGAACAGTACTAGGTGTAGTGCTGGCGACAGTGGAACTACTAGCACTAGAAGTACTGGTCGGAGCTGTTGTATCCTCATCTTCGCTATTCTCGGCAATCCAACCCTTGAACCAAGCCACACTGGCGTAGACATCTGGCTTGGTGCTGCAGCCGCCCTCGGATAGAATGCCCACGAGTTCTCCGTCCTTGACCAAGGCAGCTCCTGTGTCGTAGGAGCATCCTCCAGCGCCATACTGAGTGCAAAGGGTGAGGTACGAGATGCCATTATCCCAGAGTCCGAGCCAAACACCCCGATCGGCGGCGCACTGCTTCCGATTGTAGACGCTGACCCATGTCATCTGGAGGTAGTCTGGCAGACTGCCGAAGCACCTGTCCCACCAGCTGCCCCACCAACTGGTGGATCCCCAGCCGGAGACAGAGCACATGGTATCATCATCCGGCTCATCGTCTGCTATGCTGATGGGCTGGATGGCTTTGGAGGGGCTTAGGGGATCGCACAGCTTCAGCAGTGCCAGGTTGTTATCGAAACGCCAGTAATTGTATTCTGGATGACCAATTATATCACACACAGCGAACAGCAATCCAGTTCCATCATAATCTCGGGAGCTGGTGCCCACACGCACTTGAAGTGAACTGTAGGATTGGACACACGACGCTGCCGTAAGGATGGTATGTGATCCGATGATGGCCCCACTGCAAATGGCAGTGTCATCTATTATCACTTCCGCCTGGTAAGGGGCGTCTTCTATGTCCACAACATAGCCTCCAATGATGCGGGCTTGGGCATCCAGATCACCACGAACCTGCCGTAAAAGAGCCGCCAACAGAAAGGGGAACACACTTCGGATCATCATCTATAGTGGAACTGCCTTTGGAGCTGCATGTGCGACTCTTTTTATGGGAAATGTTATTCAATTTTTGGTGTGGAATATTTCTTATCTGCAAAGCCATACCTCAAATTGAGTGATAGCTTTGCTTCACTTCGAAGGTCTATCAAAATAGGAAGTATTGCCTATTACTTACATTTATCTGCACAAAGTCATAGCTCGAAAGCAATTTCATTTTTAACAATTAATTGGGAGAAGGCTGTTTATCATACATTGGTTAAGTTTACTTGGCGTGACTTTCCAGCCAGTTCTTGTACCTGATAATATTGATGTAGACTTCAGGCCGTTTGGAACAGCCGCCTTTCGACAAGATGCCGACTAGCTTGCCATGGTGGACCACAGGTGATCCCATGCCAAAGGAGCAGGCATCCTGACTGAACTTCTCGGTGCAGAACAAGTCCTCTGTGAAGTTTCTTTTGGACCGACTGCTGTCCACCAACAGACCTGTGCATTGGCTAGGTCCAAACATTTTGACCTCGGCCTTCTGCAGCTTGTATGCTTCATCATCCATACACTGCTTCCAATGCATTGTCCACCACATGAAGGAGGCCCAGCCGTGGGCCGTGACCTTTGCCCCATTGGCCGGAAACTCGTTGGCCAACTGGATGGTCTGGATCGTTTTGGAGGCCTTCAGTGGTTCGCACAGCTTCAATATGGCCAGATTGTGCAGTATTGTGCGGCCAGAGAACTTTTCGTGAACTGTGATGTTGCAGACTTCAGCCTCGACGACTCCATCGCTGCGCGTGGTGCTACCCACTCGTATCCTGATCGCCTTATTCAAGAACCCATCCACGCATATGCCAGCCGTCACAATGTGAGTCAGCTTGTATATAGCTCCGCCGCACTTGGCCTTTTCCCTGATCGAAATGGAAGCGCTCCATGGCGCTGTCGTTATGTCCACCGGTTGGCCACCAAGAGTCGCCTTGTTGCATCCTTCGTCCTCGTCCGACTCTTCCTCTACTTCTGCAATCGTATCGTTTTTGGCAAGGACAAACACGAAGAGCGTAAGGAGCAGAGTTCGGAGCAGCATTATGGCAAATAAACGTGGTTGTAGCAGGTTGTCTAAATTTTATAGTAATGTGACAAAGCCTGGCAAATTAATTTGTTATACTTTATGGTATGTTATAATTTTTCCCCCATCTAGCCATTATGCAATGCTCTTCTGTATTCTGTGCTTTACATTATTCAACCTAAGCTAAAATACATCTAGGCAAGGCACTTGCACCTTAAATATTATTATTCACAGCAATTACGGCATTAATCCTTCGTGTTGGAGTCCAGCCAGTGCGTGTGCCCCAGGATATTTGCGTAGACATCGGGCTTGATGGAACAGCCCGCCCTGGCGAGGATGCCCACGAGCTTGTTGTCGATGACCAGCGGCGCCCCCCTGTCTGTGGAGCAGGCTCCCTTGCCCGGCGACTTGGTGCAGATGGTCAGGTCTGAGATTCCCTTGAGCAAGTAAAATGGTATGACCCTCCAGTCCGCGGCGCACTGCTTTTGGCCAAGTATCCGCACCTGAGTGCCTTGCAATTGGACAGGCAAGTGCCACCATTTGTCCTCTATTCCGCTGATAAGCCTCTTGTCCATAATAAGGTTGAGCCAATTGCCCGATCTGGCGCCGCAGCCAGTCAGATTGGCTCGAGAATTATCTTCGGGCACTTTGGTGGCCCTCTCAATGGGCTTCATTTCGTTGGTGGCGTTGATTAGCTCGCAGGTTTTCAATAGAGCCAGGTTATTGTCGAAGCGCCAACTGGAGTACTGGCTGTGCACTTTCACCTCGCAGATTCCAACCTTCGAGCCGCCGGTTCCGCAGCTGCTGCTTCCCAGCCTGACTTGTATGTTCCCGGCACTGTAGCCATCCACACACTTGGCGGCAGTCAGGATGTAGTTCTTCGAGATAATGGCGCCACCGCACTTCAGTTGCGACTGGACTATGATGGAGGCATGCCACGGGGCGTCCTTTATGTTGACAGTGTTTGCGCCTATGATCCGTTGATCTCCGCGAGCCAACCAAGCCAGTGCCACAATCTGGAGGAGGAGTAGTGGGGCAAACATTGTCTTGACTGACTTCTGTGGCAGGCGTGCTCCTCTTTTTATGGGTTTCTTGCCTAATTGAACTGAATACCTAGCGAATACTCTTATCTTTTATTCTAAGTGAACCACTTGGAATGTCGTGTAACTTAAGTTCATGTATTACAGACCATATTGGCATTTGAAACATTTTAAAAGATTAATACTTTTGTGCAATCGATCGAAACCAAACTAATACATTCCCAATTGCAGTTGGTAATCCACAGACGAGTATATGCCCAAATTATAAAGTATAATTTAAGCAGCCGCATCGATTCTTTTCGCTTAGAGCGGCTTTACACCCGTCCTCTGATTTGAGACAAAATTCACCAGCCATTACACTAAGCCGCTTAAATATTTGAATAATTCGGGCGGACAAAAAAAGTGGGTGACTGAAATATAGCTGGACATTTCCATCAAGCGATATATGCATGTATTTATGCAATTTTACATGAATGCAGATTTAAATCTGGGCGATGTTTAGCAAAATGTCGAAATAAATACTGTCATGGAGGAAAGTGGCAGGGGCAGGGGCAAGGGGCAAGTAAACAAACATTTTTGATGATTCGCCATGTCAAGTGGGTCGGTTTCGCAGCCAGGCAGGCGGATTAAAATGGATTACAACTGAATTATTTGATAATGTCCCAGCAGATGCAACACATCGCATTGGTTTCGACCCCCTTCGAATCGCATTTAATTTTTATCAATGTGAAAATTATTTTTGGTTGCTGGGTTTTTTATTACCATTTTGTTGGGGTTTTTTCGCCGGGCAGAATCGTGTTTTCAATTTGCCCCAGGATCTACCTTTTTTTTTTGGTAAAAAATCATTTGCAGCTCTTTTTGTAGTCGAATATGTTGGGATGTGCTTTATTTTTAGCTCTATTTAATTGATTTTATTTGCGCAAAATCAGGAAAGCTTGTTCGCTTTATATGAGGTTTTAATTATTTTAGTTAATTGGATATATTCACGTGCTATTCATGATTTCTAGTAAAATTGGCATGGTTAAAAAAAAGATAATTAATTATGTTAAAAGCATATGCATTTCTTACTATTTTTAAACTTTTCAACCATATTGCTAAGCAAGTCAACGTTTAAATGACCTCAATAGGTTTTCTTTTTTTTTTTTGCTGGCCTAATGAATATTTCAGTTTTGGCAACATCGCTAACGCCATAGACGTCCATCGATGGCCATATCCAGCTGGATCCAGCTGCTCCTCCATCTCAATCAGCCTTTGGCTCATACATAACCCAGTAAATCCTTTTCCAGCTCGATGGCATCGTTGCCAATTTTCACACCAGCGACAATTACTCAAACCGTTGGCAACAACAAAAACATGGCTCCTGTCCTCACTCCCCCTTTTCCCTGACCCGCTTTTCCAGGACTTTTACCAGTCCATCCCGCCCCCGCAGTCAGAGCTCGCCACTCGGAAACGAGGGAGCCGGCAAAACAATCGTTGACAAAAATATTTGCATGCACTCTGGGTGCACTTGTCCGAATCGCTGTGCTGGGGATGCAGCTGCTCCTCCCGTGGCGCGTGTGTTGCCACCGGCGGCGGCACATTAAATATGCAACACCTATGACAGCAAGCCGCTTGACATTTGGATCCGAAGGCCCCGGACTGGAGACCCATTCCATTTTGAAACAGCCCCGAATGCCCACACTAAAGTTTCGCCGGCAATTTGCTGGTAAATTTGTCAAAAAACCAGAAACTTGCCGGGCTGAGAAATTATGACTTCCGCAATTGTTGGTGGAAGAAAGGGAATCCAGCGCAGTGCCAAAGTGTGACCGAACCGAAACAGTTCAAAAGGCAACTGTTGCTCTTGAACCTCTTGGAAAATCCAACGCTCCAAATGCCACCCCCCACACGGCAAAGTTTTCAAATAGAAAATGTTTAATTTCCCCAAAGACAACGTCGATGCTGCTGCTGCTGCTTTCCCGAAAACGCAGCGTTTTCCCACCCAAGCCAAGGAAACTTTCTTACATATTTTACAATAGATCTTCGTGTGTGTGTGCGGGTGTGCGAGTGTGCGAGTGTTCGAGTGTGTGTGTGTGTAAGTGTGTGGGTGGGTGCAACAGTGCAGCCGAAAAAGTTTCTCCTTTCCCGGGCGGAAAGTTAGCTAAGACAAACGCCCCCAGAAAAGACCCACATCGCCCAGCGCCCATCGCCCATCGCTGAGCTTCCGGGTCGAACTTGTTAGTTTGCCATATAGCGTCGAAAATTATATTATTTTAAACTTTTCAAATGTCACCAGAGAGTCAGAAATTTCACGTAAAGTCGGTGACAAACTCCTGTTGTTGCGACTCTCCTTCATTGTGTTCGTTAATTAAACATGTTGTCCCCACGAAGCGCACAATAAATCGAACTCAGCGGGAAAGTGTGCGGGTGAAAAAAGGAAAATTGAAAATTGAAAATTAACTGCATTATCTGATCGAACGGGGTAATTAAATGTGGCTATCATTTCAGGTCAATCAAACGCCTAGTAATGGCATCAATAGCATTACAAGTTCCAAAAAACACGCTGTTATACATACTATAAATGCAATTCGTTGTAAACTCGCTATAAATGTCAGTCATGTCCGTTTCCAAAAGCCATTTGATTTAATAAATAACTTTAAAGGTCGAGAAATGATTTTGCAGACATTGTTGACTATTTATTATCGAGAATTTGAATAGGATTTTTGGCAAGCAAAATAAACAACCTAACTTCCATGTAACTGGCACTACTGTTAACTGGAAATATGGTTATTTCATATAGTTTGAAGTAGTTTAAGTTTTGTTCTGTTTTCTTCTGGAGTTCCAAATTTTTTGGTTCTTTTGATGTCGCTATCAATTTGTGGACTGCACCAGTCATACTTGCAATCTCAGAATCAATTCAGAGTTGTTCCTATTCTCATTTCTCCCATGGAGCCCATTACAATCTAAAACTGTCGCAAAATGTTACAATGCGATCAAAGCAAAACTTCAGTAGTGCTGGCAAACAGTAAAGAGACAAAAAAAGAAACGAAGAGCACTACAATAGAAGCTGCCTCGCAGTTATGGCGCACAATCAAAGTGGCAACATCGTCGGTGGCGGCAACTTCAACACAAATTGCTTGGCGGCAGGGCCTTTTCTGTTTGCAGAGTTCGGTTGACACCCCGCCACTTGCCACGCGACAACTAGCTGGAAGGCAGCCAGCCATCAGCCATCAGGCAACCAGCCATCCAGCCATCCAGGCGGCCAACAAGTGTTTAGCGTTTTGTTTTCAGTGCAATTAAAAAGCGCCTACACGCCTGACACGCCCCCTCAAGTGTTGGCAGCCGCTGCTGTTGACAAACAAACAGCAAAAGGCCACAAAAGACACAAAGGGGGCTGCGTTCCAACACTTGAGTTCTGTTTTTTAGCAGTCGGCCACAGCCGCGTCTCTTTTGCTCGCCAGCGGCGCTTGGGGATATGCAGCACAAATGGCTGGCGTCAAGCACTGCGTATACGTGATATGTGGCAGCGGGGCGTATACGTAATGCGAGGGGAGTGCTGGGCGGAAGCGGCTGAGGCAAGGCTGCTGAACCTAGCTGGTCTAGGCCTGAATTAGCATAATATGCCATAATGGCAGTTTTTTAACAATACCCATAAGTGTTGGATTTGAAAACCGAAGGGTCTGCCTTTGTGGCTGTGCAGTGCAAATGGATGGTTTGATTTTAAAATAATTTAATAACTTTTTGGCCAGACAAAATGGGTCTGTTCAATGCAGGCGGGCCGAGAAGGGGATTGACAAGGCGGAAAACATTTTGCCCGGCAAGGCCTAAAACACGCTTGAATTATTCAAAGCATGTAACTGATGAAGCAGAAACGAGACGAGAACCAAAAACTAGAGCTCCAATTTCAATGTTTGAGTATTTTTGAGTGCTACGTGTTATAGATATGTGTTATGTGTATGCTGGCAGACTGGCAGCGTTTGCCACAAGTGCGTTCTGCACACTGCGAGAAACTGTGGGTATACATTCCATTTAAGGTATAAAGGGAGCTTACAAAAAGTGATTAAAAAGGGATAAGCAAGTATAGCATTTAAAATGAATGAACATCGCCAGTTTTAAACGGAATATGAACTATAGAATTGGTTTCTCCCGGTGCCTTTGTGTGTGCGAGCAAGTGCATTGCCTATTATGCTACCAAATGAAAGTGGTAATAAATTGGACAAGATGTTGCCATAAACCACACCACGACAAGCCACAGCAGGCCTTTGCTAGACAGGCCCATCGACCATCGACCGTAGACCGTAGACCGTAGACCATTGGATATGGCCTTATGGCCAGGAATTGCAAATGCAACGCATGCTGCAGTGGCGAGTTGCAACTTGCAGCAACCAACATGATTATCATGTACGAAATGCATTCGAAACCGGAGCCAGCTGGCCAACAGCTGACGTAGCTGGCCAAAACCAGCCTCCATCTTCATCTCCATTCCACTCCACCTGCAGCAGCTCTTCGGAAACCACCTATCAACCACAAGCGCATTTATGGCCATCAGGATGGGGTGTCCTGGCCGGCAAGGATTGGCCATGGGGGTTGTGGGGATTGTGGGGATTGAGGGGGTCGAGGGGGTTCTGGGGGTTCTGGGGGCAAGTTGCCCATTTAATCTCTCCAAGTGACTTGCAATTGAAATAGAAACGAAAATAACTCAAAGTGAATACGATGTGGGAGCAGCAAAACATAAATGCTTCCAAATGCATCGAGCACTCAAAGAGGGGTTCGGATTTTCAGCTCGGGCACTTGAGCTCGTCCTTAGTTATTAAATATTAGTTTTGGCCCAGAACAGTAGTAGCGGGCTAAGCTGAAAGTTCAACAGTTAATACGCTTAACTTGAGTTAAATCCCACTTCTGTTAATAATTTCAAAAGCCAGAATTATTGTGATTTCAGTTAAGGTCAATGGTACGTTGTAATTGTTGATTTTTGATTCACTTTAATCAAACAGATTTCATTAATTGTGTGGCTGAGCTGCTGGATAATGGATCTGCGACGCACAGATAGAAATTGTTTCTTTATGAGATTTTAATATATATAGATATATGTTTTTATTTTTTACTTGTGTGTAATTTGGTAAATAATGGAAAGAAACATAATCTCCGCTCTCCGGAGTGCTCTTCCTACATAAATAGTTGATTTTTAAGGGTATAACTAAGATTTTTGTTTGATGCGATGGAATTTTAAAGGCTGTACTAACAAACTACATATTTTTAAACCGAAGCTAAGCCGAAATTGCTGTGCAAACCTTTGTTGGTAACTGGATATTATCTCAGCGCTTTGTGATTATTTTCCGCATTGATGCGATTCAAACTGAGAATTTAACACGCATACGCAGCGTTGTCCCAAGCAAAGCCTCGCTAATTCGCTGTCTCTCTGTTGTCTCTGGTGTGGCTGCTGTTTAATATTTGTGTTGGCCGACAATCTCAGCAGGCAAAACAATCAGGCTTGGCCAAAGTTGTTGAAAACTTTTCACTCGCACCCAGTTGTTGTATGGGATGCGATAGGATTTTTATGTAAAACATAATTGCAGATTAGTCGCGGCGGCAATGTGCAAATAAAAGCAAAGGCATGCAGCAGAGGCAAAAACGGATGAAAAAAATCAAATTGTAATCGTTCTGTTGCAGCTTAAAGAGGATTAAACATGAGTGAAAGAGCCGGGAGCTGCCGGGAGCTGCCGGGATTCCCGAAAAGGGTGAAGGGCTGTGTGGGTGCCAGTGAATGAATGAAAGCTGGATAAGGGCCACTCGACACTTCCCGTATGAATGCAAAGTGCAACTGGCTGTCAATTTGTTTGCCATCCTGCCACTCCGGCTGCTGCTGCTGCTGCTGCTGCTGCTGCCACAGCGCTCCCCAAAGATATTTTCGATTAATTAAGAGAAAAAAAATGGAATGGCATAAAACCAATCAAATGGCCAAATGGCCAACCGGCTTTCACCGCAATTGCGAAAACGCTCCAGAGCCGTTTGCTCAAGCTGCAAAATATGACTTCAAATTAATGCAAAGTGAGGTGCTCTATTGCCATGCATTTCGCCTATTTGCACAATAAATGAAGCTGAAAATGACCCCCGGCATCTGAGAGCCTTCTGCCTTCTGCCTCCTGACTCCGATCTGTGCCCACTCAAAATGGAAACGTAAATATTTGAGCTGCAATCGAGATGCGGCTACCTGGCTCACAGTCATTCAGTCACTTCCCCTTTTAACTCAGTTATTGATTGGTTAAGCATTTCGGCCAGAGTCCAAAAATGCCTCACTTATAGAATGCGATTTCGAGATGTTATTGCAAAATATGTCAATAAATTGGCACTAAATGTCAGTTCTCAGAACAGGCGTTTTTTAGGTCAGCAAGAAAATATTCCTTTTGCCAAATTACTTGCAAAAATATTAGCTGAAGTCTCAACAGTTGCATGTTGACAAGAAAATGATTAGAAAGAAAGTGTAACAACGTAAGAAAGTATTGGGCAATTTCGGGGCATACTTCAAAAGAATAAACCTTTTTTGTTGAATAAAAGAATTAGGTCGCACCAAATTCGTTAAATAAGCTATTTTATAGCTTTATGACGACAATTTTTGCTGCTGGCCAAGCAACTTGTACGCGTCTAACCAGTTTATCAGTGAGATTTCATTGCCAAATCACTTTGAAATCGATGTTCGACCATGACTGCGAGTGTCAAAGGTACATTCAGCTGCTGGCCAAGTACGATAGCTGTAATTATTGCACCCACCTATGTCCTTGAGCCATGGCCGACCTTATAAATTAGCTGCCAGGCGAGAAGTCAACCGATGTCGGCGTCGTCGCCGCCGCTAGTCTAATGAACGCACCACATAAACATAAATTATGGCCAGCCCCAGTGCTGCAGGTCAGCCCTCCCCCTCCCCTCCCCTCACCGCTCACCACGGTGGCGACCCTTCTGGTGGCCCCAACTCCACTCCACTCCACCAGCCAGCCAGCCCTTCGCCTCGTAAACTGCGACCAGAGCCGGCATATTTGCGCAGCATACTTTTGGGCGCCGGACGGGTCGCGTTGCATACTTTTTGGCTGCGCTCGGTTTTATCCTGCAGTAAAAAGCATTTTTGGCACGGCACTCGCTGGCTCCTTATACCCTCACAATGTGTGGCGTCTCTATATTCAGTCATAGGTTTGGTTATGCCAATATTTATTGTAGCAGCGAATAAATATTCTGGTTGCCTACTTTTGATACTAAAGCGGTATCCTTATTTTTACAACTCGCAATACAGTCCGAAAATAATATTGAATCCGCTGAGTTGGGTGTTCCATGTTTCGGCTTCGAAAAGTATTTACTCCCCCCACTGCTCCTTTAGTTCGCCACGCTTTCACACTTTTTTGCATTAATTTATTTTCTCATTTTTTATTGTTTTTCCTTGCATATGCATGTGTGTGTTTTACTTAAAATAAATGTTACTCTTTAATCATAATATATATTCACAGTTTTTGTAAGTAGGTGTAAGTGTGTGTGTGTATTTTTAAGTTAAACTAATATTTATTCGTATATGTATTTCCGATTTTGAATATATTTAAAGGTATTTACAGTGTGGGAAATAAATATACGCTATCCACTAAATAGGTTTATAAATAATTTAAATATCCTGATTCATAGAAATGCACTTTTCGTTAATCTAAAGTTATTGCCGATATGTGAGCAAATCCACTCGAATTATTTCCTTGTGCGCTTAGTGCTGTGTGTGTGTGTGTGAGTAACTAAAACTGACTTTTGCAAATACACTGCGATTAAGAGGTACATAGGCGTTTCTAAAATATCATCCGATCAATGGTAATCGATCCCATACTCTTTGATATTGCCTTTTGTGTGACGGAAAACAGAGGTGGGTGGGGCGCGCTCTAACTTCAGCTAACAACGATTTGTGAAACTTAGGGGTATTTTCTAAAATATGCCTACACTTAAAGCCTGGACAACTTCAACAAACTCAACGAAACTCTAGTATTGCACGATCGACGACGACTGGAAAGTAAGGCCAACAACAACTAACCTGCCTGCCACACTCAACACTGATTCTAACTAGCTAGCCTATATCCACTATATAGTAACACACATATCCGCATATATATATACGATCCTAGCCATGCCTGAAGCAGACACCGCTCCCATATTCTCATACTCCCTATGGATATATGCATACTGGTATACATAACATACTTAACGTGTACTTTACTGCATAGCTTACTCCTTTGACCTCTCGGGGATTCGGGTACTCGGGTACTTTTGTGGCCAAAACTAACTGCCAGAAGTATGCAACAGCGTGTGGAATTCTTTCGGTGTGATGTGGGAAACCTTAACTATTTATCCTTCTCTTCGCTCCTCCTTCCCTCTGCGTTCTGGTAAGACTGGTTCTAGATTTGTGCACTTGGCTGTGGCTCTGCCATCTATCTGCTGCCTCTGCTGACCAGCAGTGAGAGCAATGTCCCTGTGAGAAGGAGGCCCAAACTGGTCGCAGCTGCTCGGGTGGAGCCATTGCCCTCGCCATCCCTGCAGATGCCCGGATTTCGGGTGAAGTCCTCGCAGTAGATCTGTAAAAAGGATTCAGTTACAAGGGGTTCAGAGAGAATCCGTTTCTTTCTGTGTACCTTGGTCAGGCTGTTGGCATACTTGTCCACCAGTTGGCGAGTGAACTTGGCCGCCTCGTTGCCGCAGATCTTGCGTGCCGCATCCTCCGAGCAATCCACAAGTTCGTTGATGGAGCTTATGTTATTGGAAATACAAAATATTGAACGATTTGCGTAAAAATACCACATATTCTGGCAAACTAATTTCATAGTAATAAAACTCTGCCTTTGTCATAATAGACCAGCCAAAATTTCCCCTCTTTCAATCAAATGAATACAAGTTTTCCGACACAATACAACATTTCAATTACAATTTTCAATTGCGTTCCATGGCAATAACATATATCGTGTTCAAAGCACAACAAACGCTGCTTAAAACTGCATTGTATCGATTTAAATATTCATTAGGGAGCATGGCGAGGCATTTTAAAGCCTCTTTGAAACCATTTGGACTTCATGAATATGTGTTTCACTCACCAGCAAATGGTCTTTATGTTCTCATTCAGGGTGCCATTCTCGGAGTTTTCCTGGTTTTTGTTCGGCTTCAGGAACACCATGGTCTCCCGGTAGCGATTGGAGCACACCTCGAACTCCTTTTTGGCCATTTCGGAGCAGGGAACGTGCTTCAGGTACTCGTCCTGGAAGGCGCCCTTGTTGCACAGATCCCTGATGAACTGGTTGGTGCCGTGGTACAGCTTGTTGAACTGATTCCTCTGCTGCAGGTCCATGCAACGGCGGGTGTAGCTCTGGATGCACCTCACTCCCTTGCGCAGCTCACTGGAAACGCACACAGGCATTGTTGTTTCAATAAAACAAATTAGAAATGTAATTGTAAGTTTAAAATGCCAAATTAAATGATTTGAAAAGTATTACTCAGTTTCTAGTTCATTTTTCATGGCAAAGTTCAAGCACCAAACACCCAAATCGATCATCAGAGCGCAGCAAGCAGTTGTATTGCTGTGCCCCACAGATTGCGATTGGGATTCGGATGCAGTGAGTCCAGATCGACGGGGGAATTTCGCCCGTGAAGCCACTTACTGACAAAGTTTTTCCAGTTCCTCCTTCTTGGCCGGGCCAATCGAGAAGTCCGACGTTAAATGCAGCATATCAAGTGGTTCGGCGCACTTGGTGAACTCCTCCTGGCCGCATTCCTCCGAATTGGCCACCTCCGCCGAGAGGAGGAGCAGGGCTGGAAATCCGAGACAGGAGTGGTTGGCGGCGGGTGGGCGGGTGGTCGAGTGGGAGAGTGAGAGACAAATAAACAAACAAACAGAAACATTGAAATAGTGCTCCAGCTGAAAGCTAAAAGGCAATCCGAGACTCTTGGCCGGCAGCAGGAGCTCCGTTCAGGCAGCCAGTTGCAACAAAGTTGCAAATGTGCGTCAGGGGTAATAAAGTTAAACGTAAGTGAAATTGGCATTTCATAAATTTTTCGACCAACTTTTCTCCGTCTATCTTAAGCGGCACACCGACATATCTGGTCAGATTTTGGCCCTCAGATAACCCCCTATCCCTATCATTCACATATACTATATACCATATACCATATACCATTACTATACTATATACTATACCCGAGAAAATCAGAAGAGTCCAGCTCCAGTTGCGATTCCACATTTGATGCATTTCGCCGCGTTCCTTCGCCTTCAACTGGCTGTTTACAATGCAATTGTTTCCGCAAGAGCAGTTAGGTGCTGCTAACTGGTTTGGCTGAAAAATCACAAAAATCATGGAAAAAATTATCAATTAATGGAGAATCATGACAAGTATTGAATGCTAATGCTTATGGCAAATTATAGGCTTCGTCTGTTTTATTAGCTTTCGTATTTTCTTATTTATGGACCGATCAAGTCGCAGTAAAAGAAAATCTTTGCTGACAAATAAAAGCTGCAAAATAAAGCGCAAAAAATAAAATCACGACCAACCGAAACAAAAAATTGATCTAAAAATAAATAAGATGTCTGCGATGAACAGAAAAGCGAAAGCAAAACGTCAGAGGTTGTCTTGTTTTCATTTCGGTTAGGATTCACTCTGTTTCACTGGGGGTTCCTTCTAATATTTTTCTGCCAGTGGGTGGGTGCTTTTATCTCTGCTTTTCTTTTTGCCAATTATCGTTGCAAATGTGGCGTGGACAGGTCAAAGTATAGTTTGCGAAAACACCGAGTGGGTTGAGTTGTTTTGACCAAAATACTGGGGCTAAATAACTGAATAATGACTATTCGAAAGACACTAGAGTATTCATTGTAAGATTGATCATTTAAATATAATTAATAGTTAAGGTGCTAACTGTGGATTTCAAACTATTATTTCGAAGTCATTCTAGATACAGAGATGTAGATCCGCAGAAGCGAGATCTTTATGAACTAAAAAAAAACGCACTTAGACGGGAAATTTTTTTTAAATTATTTAACTCGAAAAAATACAAATGGAAATACTGTAGCTAACAACACAGCGAACTTTTTTTATAATGTCTTTCAGACATTTTTATTATGTGAAAATTTGCGCTAGTATCTGTTAGTAGCAGACAATTTGATTCAGATGGGTACTATCCTTAATTAAAAGGTTTTTGTGAGGCTATAATAGGCGACTGGATACGTCATGAAATTTATATATATATTTTTAGTAATTAGTAAAATATAATACTGCATAAAAAGCGCAAACATCGAGAAAATTAATAACTGCAATGCCCCTGATTTGCATGAGATATACAAGATATAAGTAGAAAAAACTGATACAAATTGCTGTTGATTTTCGTACATTTGGCCAGGTAAAATGTTTGTGCCTTTGATTATATTTTGTGGGCATTTATGTTTTTATGCCAATATGTAAACACCAATAACAATTGTGCATTCACAGTTCTCCGACAGATGCATTTATAGCCCATAAATAAACGATACGCAAATAAACACAACACAAACACTTTTCAAAAGCCTCTCAACGATTTCTCGGCATTTGTTGATTTCCAAATGATTGAAGAAAAATATGAGGGACTCGAATTGAATTGGTATAGGTCAGGGTTTTGTGCCAGTTGAAAGCAATAAAAACTGTGAATACGAGGAAAGGTTTTCGCTGGCACAAATACTTGGCTATTTATGATATTACATAAGACTGTGCAAGACAGGCCAATGTGCCTTCAAATTCGAACATGTGCATAGTTTTGCACTCTTGATTAGCAGGCTAATATCGCATAATATTGGGTACTAACCAACAGGTTACGCCCCCCTGCACTTTTTCCTACTGATATCGCACTTCCGCAAATGCAAAAGCGAGGCTTTCGCAGCTGTTTTGCAGTCCGTATGGAGTGATATGATATGGGGGCCCCCTGATTGAACAACGAAAACAAAACACTTAACGGAGGAGAAAGAGCGTGACAGGCTGTCGAAAGAACTGTAAGTTCGCAGACCTTCAAACGAGATTTCAATCGAGCACAGAGGCAGAAAAACATATGCAGCCTGGCTTCAAATTTATCGTTTACCAAAGCTCTGGAGCTCAAATCAAAGATCTATCGTACTATATGTAATAAGTGTACTATATAACTAGAGTGATGGGTATAATCTAAAGCCTTGCACAACTTTCGGCATAAATCAACATTCGCAAGTATATCCAAAACTACGAGCTTGCGCAACTCGGCTACGTTTGTTTCAAATGGAAAATGCATTGATCGCCCCACGTTTGTTCGCCGTGCAACTGTTGCCTTGAAAGAGGCATGGTGGGGAGGGGGGTGGGCGTAGGGGCGTGCCGCGGGCTGCACGTGATGCAAGAATGCAGTCGGACGAGCCTCTCGGTGGCGATCTGGCGTCCAAGATCGTCGCCCTGTGCGAATTCAAAACCAAGAGCCGGTTTTCTGCCCTGTTTATTTATACATTGGTCGCACTGCTTTTGGTCTTAATTCGTTTGATTACTTTGGTCTGGAGCCGCCGAGCGACGCGCTTTCGAATGACAGCTGCAGCGGGCGGTTCGACGAGCGGTATGGCGGTATGGCGGTATAGCGATCGAGATCGAGATCGGGATCGAGATCGGGATCGAGAGGCGGTGGAGCGGACCTGAGCGGAGCAAGCGCGCCGTGTTGTTGGCCGACCGAGTGACAGAAGCGTACTGAACGCCAGAAGCAGCGGCGCCACTCGGCCAGCGAATGGGGATGGCGACGGCGATGGCGATGGCGAGTGGAGCCGAGCTGATATCCGAGCGCCAAGTATCCAAACGGGCCGAGTGTGCATGCTAGCAACATGTTGCCAGCCAGCAGCAGCATGCGGCGCTTTGTGGGCTGCAACAACAGGTATTTCTGGCTAGCCAAGTGCAACTGATAAGCTGACTATCGACTGATGGCCCGCAAGTAATCCCAAACCCAGTTCGTCGCCTTAGCCACTTTGCCATTCAATTAATTTAATAAGGAGGAAGTGGGCTCGCATGATAAGATTGCAGATTATCTATTTGTCCGAGGAAGCCAAGTGTATGGGCCGTACTTTGTTTTTCCTACCCTCACCAGTTTGCCAATCATTTTTGTCGCATTGAGAAATATTTGATCACCGATGTTTGCCCAGTGCCAATAGCAGTAACACCAACAACAATCAACTCCCGGCTCAAGTCAACGGGACTTACACGCGTGTCCTTTGTTTGGCCCTGCCTTTGTTTTGGCCGCCCACCTTCGCCCACCTCCGCCCAGATTTGTTTGCTATATGCCAATTTGGCGGTCTGTTTGCATATTTACTGTAAACACTGTCCAAATTAGGCGAAGATTTCCATTCAGCGCCGTCCTTGAGTTATTTGCCCAAGGGGAATTCCGGGGGAATTCCATTTGCCACGGCCAAGTCGCAGACACAACCATAAATAGTTGGCCACAATGAAGACACTATCGGGGGAGTGGACACCTGTTAACTTGGCTAACTCAATTGTAGTGCAAGACAAAGGAAATGTATGGGAAGCTCGGCATAACTTTCGGTCAGCAGTCAATTTGGAATTGATTGTAATGTGAAATAAAATTAAGGCGAAAAGCCGGCAGGAGACAATTAAAATGGAATTTGCACAAAGCTATCAAGGAATTCAAATTAATTCGGCAGAACGTTCGACTATAAATATTCTTTATTGAATCTGGCCAATCAAATGTAGCTGTGTGAAACAGCATACATTTTGCACAATTTAATGCACATCTATAATAATTTCAAACTCTGCTTATCCCACACACATAGATTGTTTAGCACTCAGAATTAACACAATTTGTATAAACTAATCGGGTGGTTCAACTTGATTTAAAGCACTTGTAGATTAAATTGTCTGACCATCTGTAGATCAGATAAGGTCGTAATTCATTGAGTTGGCCACTTTAGAACTGGAATTCATCTAACCAGATTAGATAGTGTATAAATTCACGATGATGGTCCACTTAATTGGAAGTGTGCCGTGTAAACTGTGTCTGGCTTATTTACGCATTAACATTTATTTTGATTGTCCAAGTTTATACAAATAACAATATTTGAAGCTCTCATAAATAAAGAGCCGTTCAAGCACGAATTTCGATTTTCTGAACGTCTTGAGCACTGATATATTTTCATTTAAGGAATTTATTTTTATTTTTACATACCAATTAAATTGTAACTCAGCCGGGAATATAAAAAGCACTAAGATAGGTAAACAATTTGAAGTGATGCATGCCACACATTTACAGCTTTTGCGTCCTTTCAGTGCTCCACTTTTGCATTCATAATTATCGAAACTTAACCCTGGTCAAATGCAACGTGTGTGTGTGAGTGTTTGCTGGTAGGTCATTACCACTGGCCACATGCGTTAAGGGCTAAGAATGAGGGCCGGAAGCCGAGGGATGCCTTTAAGCCATTGCTTATACGACAAACGAAAACAAAACCCAAGTTTGTTTTATTCTACTTGCCTTCTATGGCCGGACCAGCCAGGATAGCACGCTCCTTCCAAACGGCTAACACCTACCCACACACACACACACACACACAGGCACACCGGAAATGCACTTGGCCAAAAGAGAAGGCAGTTGCCAACGCCATATGAGATAGTGTTATCAACATATTGGAATCATGTGCTAGATACGCTGTTATTAAAGTTGGGATTGTATATGTCACATTATTAATTAATTAACTATAAATATTCTATGACCTGAACGAACTTGAGAATATCTGTACTATCGCTCATAGTTTAAGAAATACTCTTTCATTTCAGTTTTGAGAATATCTAGCAATTTCAACATTTTTCTCCTTGTGCATGCACACACACATGCAAACACTGCGATACCGCGCATTAGGAGCACCAGCAACAACAATAACCAGCGCTGGAATGGCAACAATAACAACACGGTGAAAGTGGCTTGGCCAAAAGGACAGAAAGTGGGCGGACAAGGGCGGTGGGTGAGGTGGGTGCGGCCCTGCCGCTTTTGTTCCTGCCATTGCTGCTGCATTAGTTTGTGTTTGAACTTTGCAAGTTTTTGCCATCATTGTTGGTGTTTCGCCTGCTCGTTGTTGTTGCTGCTGCTGGGCAACTGTTGATGTTTACATTTAGCGCTTGGATTTATGAACTCCGCATGCGGGGCACGTATGCATTGGACAATTTAAAGTTTAGCACACCCACCCACCCACGCACACACACACATGCATGGCGAGGGAACAAGTAGGCCAAAAAAGGGAAAACCCGCCAGAACGGAAAACGGCGAACGGCGAAAGGTCAATTGTTGCTCGGCGGCGGGGGCAGCTACTTCATTTTAGTGGACGCAGGACAAAGGACAAACTCCTCTCGTGGCATTTATTCTCCTCTTAAGTATTTGCGCTTAGTTTACTTTTATTTGTCTAACGGCCACGAGCACACAAAAGGCCAGTTTGGAAATTAATGGCCAGTTGGGCAGCGCTGTTAATGCTCTGTTACCAAATTGAGTGCCAAAGGATCTATCTGCTTTATGGGAATTGGTTCCGTACTTTAGCTCTATATTTTGGAAAACTTTTGTTTTGCAGGCCTGATCGTTTTACATTTTTCAGCACAACAACTCACACGAGATTCGTAAAACAAAACATTCCCATGAACGCGAATATGCTTTTTTAGCTTTAACATTGTTTTTTCGTGCTATAGTACTTAAGTAACAAACTCACAGGCACAAATTAAGCTTTATAAATTAGCGGAAAATTGTAATTTGGTAGATTATAATGGTAGACAGCTGCCATGGTTGAGCTTGCCTTGCAAATTTCTGAAAACTGATGGTCAGATAGTGTTTTTCGAGGAACCAAAACTGTCGGAGTCTCAAGATTTTCGAAAAAAGCGCCAAGAACCCAATAGGAATGCAAGTTTTTGCCACAGTGGCGCCACTGCGCAAATGTATTTTACATGTAAAAGGCAACATTCATGTAGAGAAGTTAGTAGGGAAGTACCAAACCCGAACGTTAGTGCGTTACTGGGGCGCCACTGTGTAACAAGAGACCGCTCTTTCAAAATGCAAAGTAAAAAGATTGGTTTCGCCGCTTAAACTCAAATAATCTGATTTGAATTAATTTTTCTTAAGGAGCTCCTAATTTAAATTACAACACTACTCTTAGCTTACCAATAAAACGGATCAGCATAGCCCAAATGGTATGCTGTATGTAAATTAAAGCGACTAATTGGCATTTTTCGAAAACACAAAAACAAGTGCTCATTAGGCTTATATTATTTGCTATTAATATCCCAGGAAACAGCACTTGGAATCAGTCAAAGAGATTATTTAACTAATTGTATGCACAGCAAGGAATTAATTGTTAGATTTGCCATCGTCGCCGGCATTATCAGCAGGTTGACACCTCAATTGACTTGTAGGATGTAGTTGGTTGATTATCTGCCTGCTTTGTGGGCCAGATCCCCGCTCCCCTGCTCCAAACAAATTGCGGCGATTAGAACGTTAATTGCGGGGCGTAAATCTGGCCAAGTGCCGCCCAGGCCGCATCACAACATCCATCAGGTCGGGCCGAAAAACGGGTCCACACCAACCACTGGCAGCCACGATGTCCGTTCGGCCGTTTCGGCCAGGATTTACGAGCCACATTAGACCGGGCCACAGACTTCGGAGTCGAGTCGTGGCGAGTGGATGGCAGTTCGGTTTTAGCCTGCTCATAAGCAAATTTGAGGCAACAAGTAGCCGCCGCACTGAGCTCTCCATGGTTCCAGTTTTGGCCAGAGGCCCCTACTCCCTGGCCTGCCAGCCACTGGACAATGTTTACGGCTGCGTTGACAGTTTAAATCGCTCTGTGCTCGTATATTTTGACGTTTTACAGCTCGTGTTTTCTCCTGATGGCGACGCCGAATGGCCGGCACTTGTTGGCCTGGCCCGGAATTGGATTTGGCCCAGGCCCAGGCGCTAAACGTGAGAAAGAAGCTTTTGCCGCCGATTTTTCGGTTTCTGGATCATTACGCGACCCGTCTATGGGTTAACAATGAGTTGAAGAGCATTCGGCCATTCGGCACTTGACTTGCCCACACAAAAGATACTCCGCTGCGGGAAGGTGGCGACTCCCGGAGGTACACTGCGCAAAATGGGGCCACGATATCCGTTCAGATTAAACTTATTTTGCTACGTGTTCCATGATATTGCTATATAACAGGTACCCCTTTTTTTTATTTATGTTCCTTTGAAATGGTCTTTTTTTTATTTCGAGGAATCTTAGAGTCACTTTCGCTTTCGCTCCGTGTAGAAATCTTCGGTGGCCTTCTTTGGGGCTGGTCCGTGATTTAATCGCCACTGCCCAACAAATAGTCAAAAAAAAAAATCCAAAAATAAAGGGAAAGACAGTCGCAAAACACTTTTCGTGAGCGTTAAAGTAGCATTGGAATATCTGTAGCAGTTCGCCGTTGTCCGGCAGTTGGCGCGAAAGAGACGGAGCCAAAGGCGCAGACAGAGACGGAGAGAGTGAAGTGCGTGGCAAGCACTCGATCAACAAAAGGCATCACTTGGATGTCGCCTCGAGTGGAAGTGGATGTGGATGTGGCTGTGAAGTGCTGAAATGAACTACAAATACACGGAGCACCTGGTAACAATAGGGTGTAAATATTTGCATTCTCTCTCCCTCTAGCACGCCTCTCGCCGTCCCTCTCTATTTGGTAAATCAAATCAAATA